TGACACAGGGGCCATGAAAAGGGGAAGCATGTCCTGCCCTACTGGTAACATAAGTATTTTGGGATAGCTCAGTATTTACATAATTAAACACAAAAGCACAGTCAGGAAATAATTGATAGCCAAATGTTTTCAAATAATTGTAAGTTTTACATGTTCCCAAATGAGTTAAGGTAAATGTAAATTATACATCAACATGACTTGTGTGACTCTGCAACCCAGTCTGGACCCATGGATGTATGTTGTGTGCATGCTTTGAAAGGTTTCTAGTTTTGTGATCCATTCAGCTATCAGTATACTAACAATACTTTATAAACATTGGCAATTCACTTCAACAGTTTAAAATGCAATGAATAGTTAGCAAAGTCAAACAGCATTCTAACAGGGCCATGCAAATGTCAAAACATGCATACACAGGAGATAACATCTCAGGGGATCCCGCTGGCATTAGTATATGTAGGAAACTCCCAGTGAGGTTCAAGTACTATACACATTGTACACTCTAATAATATATACAGTACTTGACATTGTACACTCTAATAATATATACAGTACTTGACATTGTCCACGACATTGTCCACTATCTAAAATATATATGGAGCAAATCACATATACACTACCTAATGATACACACAGTACCTAATGATATCTTCAGTGCCTTATATTGAGAAGCTCACAATGAGAAATGACAGTCCTTTACAACCTAAATGCATGAGTTCTTGTGAGTTAAAAAGTGTAAGCAAAGAGCAATCAGAAGGAATTTTGAAGAAGGCTTTATTTATATCAAAACATTGTTCCTTTGGCTAATGGATTTATTTAAACTTTCTGCTACATCTGAAGAGGTGAAACTGTGTTTGCTTCAAATGTTCTTGGTGCTCTGCTGTCGAGAAAGGTCTGCAAGAGCTCTCAATGGAGCAATAAAATCGTTGATACCTGTTTTGTGTTCTAAACATTAAAGTTGAGTTCAGATAAAAGAGCTGATTATATGGAAAGTTCAGTGTTACAGTAGATTTAATCAATACAGGGTTGATTCTTTTTCTTCAAATAGTTTGGCAGTATATCTTCTGACAGTGAATAATAACTTGGCGTGCACACAGGCAGTGGCGTGATCATTCAAAGGGAGGCAACTCTTGCTATTCCACCTCTCTCCTGGCAGTGAATGTTATGCAGTTGGAATATGTTTGAAACCTTTGTGAAGCAATGTCTCATTTGTATTTCTGATACCTGCTGATAGATGTCATGTGTTGTGTTTTAACAATAAGCATCACTGCTGACCTCAACCTTAATTTTAAAATAATTTCATTCTTTTGTAACATTTTTTAGCTCAATATAAATTTTTTGTTATGAATAACTACAGCAAAGTGATAACTCGCTCTCCTTAACCTTCAGTCACCATGCAACTAAATGTTATTGATGTGATGTCAAACTCGCTCACACACTGCAGTCTGGACCACAGGCATGTGTAGTCCACTACAGTAACATCGGAACACAAGTCAAGAATCTTGGCATCCTTTCTTCTTGTCATTTAGAAATAAAATGTCATCGTATCCCAATTGTGTGGATCGATGCTTATGCTGTCAATCACTGGATAGTCTGGTCCAGCCTAAATTATTTACAGACTGCCATCATATAGCTGGAATATTGCTGTGTGTAATGTTAAACAACAAACAAACAAAAAAATTGTTATTTCTCAATACAACTTGATATTCTCTTTAATAGAAATCAATCAATATCCTAACCATTTGTCTTCACCCTGATATGAATTTTAGGATTCTCATTTTACAAAGCCTCTTGATATTGTACACTTCTAATGACCATCAGTATCAGAAACCTATGCTATTGGGTCAGGATTCCTTATGAAGTTTCCACACTTGTCAGCACCATGCCCTGATTGTTGGTTCACCAAAGTTGTAGACATTCGGGCTTTCCTCCTACACCAGATGACCTGCCTTGATAGACTTGAATAGTGTTCAAACCCAACACACTCATTCCCTCGGCCACCCACCGACCCAGGGATAGACTGGAATAGTGTTCAAACCCAGCACACTCATTCACTCGGCCACCCACCGACCCAGGGATAGACTGGAATAGTGTTCAAACCCAGCACACTCATTCACTCGGCCACCCACCGACCCAGGGATAGACTGGAATAGTGTTCAAACCCAACACACTCATTCCCTCGGCCACCCACCGACCCAGGGATAGACTGGAATAGTGTTCAAACCCAGCACACTCATTCACTCGGCCACCCACCGACCCAGGGATAGACTGGAATAGTGTTCAAACCCAGCACACTCATTCACTCGGCCACCCACCGACCCAGGGATAGACTGGAATAGTGTTCAAACCCAACACACTCATTCCCTCGGCCACCCACCGACCCAGGGATAGACTGGAATAGTGTTCAAACCCAGCACACTCATTCACTCGGCCACCCACCGACCCAGGGATAGACTGGAATAGTGTTCAAACCCAGCACACTCATTCACTCGGCCACCCACCGACCCAGGGATTACACCTCATTACACCTGAGTTTCTTACAGCAGACTGTTTGTCATATCCAACTTATCACATCTGAAGTGAACTGTATATGAAAGAAGGTTCTCTCATTTCTCATAGTTCAGAAAATTATCCCATCTCAATATTGTAAGCCATTATACAAATAAATAAACATATATCAGTCTCTTCTAATGACAACTTTAAGAATGGTTACCTAAATATTTATATCAAAGCTGTGGCTTTTTTCGCAACCCTTTATATCAATTTCACTGCAGTCTTTTCTCCCACTAACCCAGGAGCATGGTTTCACATGCTGTCTAGTTGCCTTTATTAGCAGCTTTTAAACTAGTCAGCTTCGGGAAGGGGTCAATTTGATAATACCTACAATATTACTTAGGAATATTACGTTAGAATAACCGCAGGCTTGGAAAAAGGCAACCCAGGTTTGATGTTCAACACACTTCTTCAAAGCAATCACGCCCTTGAAACCCTCTTTAATCCCCATTTACTTGCAGTTAAAAACTCTGTCTCAATCAAACCATACCGCAGGATGGCTGATGCAACGTGTGTGTTCGTAAGACGCGCACAGAAAATGGTGAAAGTCGACAGATTGCTTCTTAGGATCAGTAGGAATTATCTTGGGGTTGCAGTGTTAATGTATTCTGCATTAAGCCCTGTAAGTAGATATGAGCAATGGAGAACTACAGCAGATATCCCGTGTGCACTCGCCACTAATGATTCGATTGCCACTTAAGGCCCAGTGGCGTTGCAATTTAATTATGCTCAAGTACATCCTTGAGTGGATGACTGTGCTAGTTTACTTGAAGCACATATGCTTGCATTTTGCCCGATTACTGTGATTGCGTAATTCATTACGTTAACCTAATACACACGTTAACTGATTAAATGTGATGATGGGTCTATTATTCCCTAAACGCAACATGTGAAATTGATATATAAAACCACTGAAGATTGAAAGCGTGATGAAATGGAATGGTTCTTTACTGTGAAAAATACTTTTCTTGTTCGTAAACGATGATGAGTTATATGACCCACACACTCTTTCAATGTGTTTTGACATTTTCTCAAAGTATTTATTTTGTCTTGTTTTTATGGATACCAAAAAAATATCAAATCTTATTACCGTATTCGACGTAATAAGTGCCCAGGGCGTTCTCAAAATTAGAAATAGTGGGCTCTTATTAGAAAAAAAAAATTGTGAAAAATAATACAGTTGAAAGATCGTAAACTTTGTGGTTTATGCTTACAGCCTGAAATGATACAAAAGAAGTCTGTGCGTATTATACACGACAGATATATTTTTTCAGAAGTTAATGGTGCCCATAATTAAGGGTGCATATAACACATGAGTGCATATTATACATGAATAAATAAGTATTGTGTACATTAATCAATCGAAAGGGGTGCTAATTGGGATTGTTCACTTGCCAATATATTAGCAAATATCGCCATGGGCGCTTATTGGAGCGGGGCGCTTATTACGTCGAATACGGTATGCACATATGAAATATCCTAGCCAAGAGTTTCCCATTTGATACTCCTGGTGTGACTTTAGGTGAAATATAAATAATAAGAATGCATGATCAAGAATTCTGTTGAGGAACAACTCAGCACTACATTTATTGATTGAGAGAATGAATGTTGTTTAACGTCGCAGTCAGCAGTATTTTAGTCTGTGAATAATTGAGTCTGACTGCATGACCAGCGGTTCATGGGGGACTGATGACATGCAGTTAGCATTACTGACAACCGGATCCCCATGTCATCTTGTTCAGACAAAGAGCATGAAATGTTTGGGGCTTATTCTGACACAGGGGCACCAACATAGGCACTTTTTACTTATGTCATCAGACACATCATTTGCTCAAACTTTCTGATCTCTCTCTGGGGATCAGAGAAACATCTGATCAAAATCTACTTTTACAGAAACATTTCATCTCCACCATTAGACAGTGCTAATTTCAGTTAAAGACAATCTACCTGTCCTCTATCATAAATATAAATGCAGGCCAGGGAGAACCGTATGATGCTGCAGGGTTATATTTTCATAGGAATCTCTTTCAATCAAACAAAACAACTCAACATGTGACTCAAGTTTATTTTTAAATAGGTTTTGTTAACAAATTTTGTAACCATTTGAGTGAACCATACATCTTAGATTCCTCTTTCAAGTCACTGCAAAACATATCTTATGACTTTAAAATTCTAAAATGTCTGCTCAGGACCTGCTTCTCAACACATGTTTCCATTCCAGAGGAAAATATCAGCTTTCATCCTAGTTTGAAAACTTCCATCAGTCTTTTTTCCTGATATCTACTTTCCTTTCTGCTGAAAGTCTGGACCCACTTCCACACAACTCCTTCCACCATGCCTGGCAACCTAAGCATTCACCCGAATTCAAAATATTTTCTTTGACGCTATCTTTTAACTTTTGCCTCTAATTTGTATGCTTCAATCCTAACGTCAATGTGTTCTGTTTTCAGGAGGTCTTGGCCATGATGGAATCAACCACGGGCAGGACATCCATCGAGCGAGCGCGAGCAGCACAGGGAGTTTTGGGCGTGGCAGTAGTACAGGCAGCCTCAGTAACACGTCCACGCCCACCAACACCCCAAACACGCCCCTTGTTGTGCCACAACCTGTTAAGCCCAATCGGACCGGGAAGACCTACCAATGCAAGATGTGTGACCAGGTACAGTACAACGGGCATTCAGTTCCCAATGTGAGTGCGTGAGTGAGTGGGGTCTTACACCCTAGTCAGCAGTACCTTAGCTATGTTACAGCAGCTTTCAAAGTGGATTCGGACCTGGAACATCCAATCCAGTGTTCTATGTTGTGAGCATCAAATTAGGACAGCCAGGTCTCTGCTCGGGGTAGGTCCTTCAGGGTGGTCACTCTGGTAACATACGGTTATGTTGATTTCTGAGGACAGGTGGGAAATGGGGAACCTATTCTGGTGGTAATTGTTACAGGAAGTAGATTAACATCCTCCCGAAACTGTGTCCTTGAAGCTTGCGTGGTATGGTCTCTCATCTATGTTTTCACTGATCAGAAAGATAAAAACAGTTTATAGAAGGCAAGACTTGAAAACAAAATCTCTGACATCAGAATTATGAAAGCATTTATTGTTGCAGATTGATATTTCAACTACTGAAGTAGCTAATGACATCACTGGCATCATTTGAGACAAACAGATATGGTTCCTTGTAAAACATATGGAATCGTTAAATGAAAATCAGAATTGTTTTTTAATTTATTAAAAAAAATAACAATATATTCAAAAGATGTATAGATCATTCCAAAAGGAGCTATGTTGAGTTATTTTGTATCACCATCATCTTGAGGGATATTGTCCATCTTATGATAGTTTCAACATAACATTTGATCATAAATTGATCATGTAATTGTAAAACTACAGAATACATGTATAATGTTTATCTTAAAGTCCTATATTTTGTGACTGTAGCTCCCAAGTACTCATGCTTTTCATGAGGGATATTGGGAATGGGAGATCACATTCAATGTAACCTGGCTGGTTGTCATAGCAACCCTGTGGCATGGATATGACGCTAACACTGGTTTGCCTGTTCCAGACTCGATTACCTTGCAGGTTGCTGTCGCATAGTTATAGAATTGCAGAATACGGTGTAAAACTAACAATTTAATTAGTTGAAACTTGATCAATATGGATGTTTTTTGTGTAATATGAATTGTCTAGAATAACATTATACTGAACACTAATTTTTTAAGAATTATCTTTAAGCAGGAAAATCTTTGGCAAATAAAAGGGTGCTATAGGCTTGTGTGCTCACTGGCTGACTATTTCTTGCTGTTCTGTGAGGAGGTTTTTGCGGTTGTTCCATTGCTTGTTGCTGGGACAGATGTTCTTTACAGTTTCAAATGCCCGTCAGTATCTCTGTTCAGGCTATTAGTTTTCAACATGGAGAAATAACCCTGATATGTGGTATATCTACAGAAAATAGAGAGAATGAGTGATGGTTGATTGAAAAAATTAATCTTTTACAGAAAAAATAACACCATAAGCCGTTTTAAAAATGCATAAAATACGGAAAACCAATTCCTTGCTATCTGCTAGTCGCAGTCTGTGTTCATATGGCTGTCTGAGAAAGCTTGCATGGTGATAACTGAAAATAAAAGTTTCATGCGGTCATGAGTGTGGTATCATCATAATATTGTCTCTTGTCGACTGACGACTGATAAAACTGGAAGAAAAACCTGCAGTTACTGGAATGTCTGATTATTTTAGAATAGAAAAAGGTTGGCAAGGAAAATTCTGCCTCTATCTAATGTTTATTTTGGCTGCCGACCAGGGATATTATATCGGGCGAGGGAGCTTTGAACTGAATGAGAGACTGTAGTAATGTTATACACCAATTTGCTCCTACGTCTTGTTTTGGCAGACGAAAATTTGTTAAAATTCGTCCGTCCATCGTTGGTGTCACCTCATCAGTGTCAGTATGCAAGACTAATACGATTCGGGAAAATGGCCGTCTTATTTGTTTGAACGTTTTGCCATGTGGGCTGTAGGGTTGCCGGCAAAATTTCAATGTTACATAACACTCATCCAAGCTGGGAGCTTTCACTTGTGAAATTAACTGCTCTGTTTATTTTAGGTTGCCATTTTTTGCAGCTTTTTTTACCAGCATATCTTCCAGATGTGCGATCTTGTTAAAAGTTTGGAAGCTCTAAGCCCCATGAGTCAATGGGCAAAAGCATGTAGTTACATTTTGAAGTTTTAATGGTAAAGCTTGGTCTGTCCTGGTGCCCTCGTATGGCATCAGGTTCCACTCCTCAGTCATGTGTGGGTAAAGAAATACAGTGAAAGTTGAATGACTTTATGATTATCTTTACTTTTCAACTACATAATTTGTTTTTCATGTTATTTATGCAGCAAAGTTGTAATGCCACTTGTTTATTTTTTCTGTTCTAAAGTGATTGATGAACATAATGGTAGTATGGTCACTGGCTTTTGAGAAAGAGGAAATCATGATAATAAATGTGTTATTTTGCACCAGTCAGGGATACTGTGCATGCATCAGTCACAGAGGATATTTCTGCCTTGACAATTTACATTCAGACAATATATTTTCCTTGTTAAATTTCAAGTTCCATGTTGAATTTTGATTTCACAAATAGTTTCTATCATGTTGTTTTTTTAATTCTGAAAAAAGCTATTCTTTCTATAATCTTGCTTTGGTTTGTTGTATTTGCTGCATTCATATATGGTCACTGTATCTCCAATAGGATTTATCAATATGGCTGCCATGGCAGACATATTGCAAGTGATCAAATAATAAAAATTGTTAAAACGTCTTTGTAATTTTCTATCAAGAAATGTTGCAACACTCTCATCTAACTTGTGTATTTTGACATAGGAAACATATTTTAAAGTGGAATAGAACATATTTCTGATTTCTAGCTATTGTTAAGAAAACATATTTTTTTGTGATTTTCCTCCTAAACTTCCTGTCCTCCACACTGTAGAAGGCATGATCACATGCAAAGCCATCAATCACTAGGAACAGATAACTAATTATGCTCATCAATTACTGATCTCAAAGATGGTAATTTTCTGTGGATCCCAAGAAATCTATGGGTCTTTGGAACCAGGACCCATTATCAGGAATTGTGATGAGGGTATCTGTTTAGCCAAAGTAATTCATTGTGTGTGTGTCTATGAGTGATTTTTCTGTGCATGGATGGATTTCTAAATTCTAAAAACATTCAATTCAGGTTTTTCTGCGTTTTATGGATAAAACTCCAGAAAGGGATTCTAGCTATTTGATTTCTTTTGCACAATAAACGATTAAATCATAACCACTATGTTTATGGATAGGTTCAGGAAGAACTTGCCTTCAACAAGACCTTTGTTTCGGAGTTCGTCATCATTTAGCATCTAACCAAACTTGTTCTTGTTTTTTTCCAGATCTTCAATACCAAATCTGATATGCTGATCCACTGCCAACAGATTCACAAGCAGGACCCTAAGCCTTACAAATGTCCCACTTGCTCAAAATGCTTTGCTAACTCGTCATATTTATCGCAGCACAACCGCATTCATACAGGGATCAAGCCGTACAAATGCGAGATCTGTGAACGCAAGTTTACGCAGCTTTCACACCTTCAGCAGCACATCCGCACCCACACTGGAGAGAAGCCCTACAAATGCATGCATCCAGGCTGCGGGAAGGCCTTTTCACAACTCTCCAACCTGCAGTCTCACTCGAGATCACACATGACCGACAAGCCGTACCGCTGTAACTCTTGCTACAAGTGCTACGCTGATGAACAGAGTTTGCGCGATCATATTCCCAAGCACTCGGACACTAAACATCTCAAGACTCACATATGTCATATATGCGGCAAATCCTACACGCAAGAGACATACCTGACTCGTCACATGGCTAAGCATTCTAATGAAAGTCATAAAGTGGCGCCACGACCAATCAAAACTGAACCCCTGGATCCCGCTGATCGAGACTATGGCCGGATGTCCGAGAAGTCTTCACAAGATGGACATGTAGGTGGCGCCTGCAGCAAGAGCGTATCATCTGCATTCATGCCGCTGCCGCAGTTTGGTCCCAACGTCAGCAGTAGCTCCAACTCAAGCTATCCCTATGGCCCTAGCCTAAGCTCAAATAGTCTTAGCTCTCCTCTCCCGCACATATCATCGATGACATCTCCACGCTACTTCCCATACGATCCAATTGGATTCCGCAAATCAGATCCTCCAGAAAGGAACCTGAATGTACCCATGACTACACGAGACAGTATGATTGCCAACAGTCTACTGAGTCTGCAGCATATAAAGAATTATGCTTCTCAGCAGATGCCCAGCTTCACACCAACATGCACAAGCGGGTCTCGACTCACATGATTTGCTGATACAGTAGCAGGGTAGATATGTATCAGATGGTATGACACTGTCATTCTGATTACTTTTCTGCCACTGGTTATGACAGCATGTCTTATAGACTATGTACTTGGCATCAGTGGTCTTTAAATGGCATTGGACATGCAGTTGGGGGTACATGTGTCACTTACATCTTTTACGACTGTATTTTCCATAAAATAGCCATGATGTTCATGGTATAAATCTAACATTTTTCTTCCCAAATCCTACAACGACGAGCCCTGAAGGTTGTGGAAGAATGATTTTAGATTAGCATTGCTTGTTAGGAGAGTATCACAAAAACATCCAAACCAAATGACAAATTTCCTTATGTAAGTTAAAAACCATGAGATTGACTTTTGAAATGTAAATATTTCTGCCTTGAGATTGTAATATTTCAAAGAATGTTTGACTTAGTGCCACTGCATATTAATGTTGTATTATAAAGAAAATTAAATCTTTGATTGTTTTTTTTAAAAATACATCAATTGCTTCTTCCCAATGTTTCCGAGAAAATATCCAGCTAAACTGATGTACAATTTTTTCCAAATGGATTTTTTCTGGACCTGAATCTTGCCAACTGTTACCAGTGGCAGATTGGACATTGTTTGTTATGATGATTATTTTAGGGACTTGATTTTTGTGTGTACATGACACTGTTTCTATTCTGCAGGATCTGCAGTTGTCTTGTGTGTTAGATTATAAATCATGTCCTTATTATTGAGTTGTTTAGCTTTGATGAATATCATCATCCTTTAGATAGGACCCGCTTATGAAGCACTTCGTGTTGTCTGCATGTAACCTGTATGAAAAGAAACCTTGTTGTGCTTATATAGTCAGTATTACAGAGGCTGGTGGGGGTTCCATGATGGTTAAAATACTGACAACGTTATTGTCGTTTTGAAGTCATTGCCTGTATGTCACAAATAATCACTATAACAAGAATTTAGAAATATTTTGACAAATTGCTTGAGCTTGCTTTCACAACAGTATTGAGAAAAGGTTAAAAATAATCATTCACGGTTGAAAACACTGTTTAATTGTTCATGTCTCTTTTTACAAAGGTCATTATCATTTTGACGTTGCCATGGAAATGTGTGACAAGTACTATTAAAAACGCAAAGGAAATAATCCTTTTTTTCATTACGAGGTGCTACATGTGAAAGTTTTTCTTCTTTTGACATTATGGGCTGAATCATTAAAAAGCTTGATTGTAGAGCGCAACAAGGTTTGGTTTGTATCTTATGTCATACAGGCATTTAATGCCTACTAACTCTATAAACAGAACTCACAACTGATTCTATCAGACATATATCCCACTATTAGGAAACATGTACAAAAATGTCATGTTTCTTTTCAAATTATGTTCATTGCTCAGTGAAATTATGATGCTACAGCCTAAAGGTAGTATCAAAAAATAATTTTTGTATGAATTTGTAACAAATTCATAAAGGGTAACAGAATTCTGAATTCAGAACAAGGTTTCTTATGTTTCCCGATTCCGTGCCTCTCAACCATATTTGGACGCCATGAGGTTCAGTCAGCCAAGTTTGTCCTTGACATGAAATGTTCAGTCTGGTGATGGACATTGAGCACTTCCCACGAACATGCGTGCTGTGTTTCTTAGAAACAAGACACGTTTCTCTGATCTCTTGTATTACAATGTGTTCAAATGCTCATCATTTCATTTGTAGATGTAAAGTAATTTTTACCTACATATCTATATTCGGGGCCTCTTACTTTCACAATAGGGCCCTTACTATGAATATTGGTATATTTGCACCTTGGAGTTAATGTCATTGTGTAGAACACATGTAGATAAATTAGAAAATGGCTAACATTTTCAAGTTTCCTGGAGGAAATTACATTAGGATCTTGTACAGATAGTAGCTTTAGAATCATACGAGGTCTTGTCTTTCTTTTGTTTTCAGACATTTTGAGAAGGTTTGGGACTGAAAAAAAGAAATTTTATTTGTAATTACTGTATGCAAACAAGCTGTTTCCTCCAGGTAACTTCAGAATACCAAGAGTATTAAATCGGTTTATTCCAATGTTGCAAGTACATGAAGAAATTATTTAAATTATGATATTTATTTTCTTTGTCAGTTTGGGAGAGTGCAAAACAAAGTAGTCAAATTAATTTCTGTTTTCTTCAGAGCTGCATATATGCATACGTTATGCCTGTTCATATTTGTCCAAGTTTACCACTAACTATTGTGGTTTGTTTCAGTTCTTTCTGTTTTTTCTTGAATCATTCAAGAGTTCCACATCTCATAACGTTTGGCGCCAGTACTCTCTTTATCAAACTATTTACACTATTTTGCGATTTACTGTTGGACAATATTTCTTCTTAAATGTTATTTTGGAAACAGAAAATCTGAAACATTATTCACATAATGGCTGTCCTTTACAAATGCTTTCTTTATTCAGCAACTATTATGTTTCGAAAGTAGTGAACCTGTTTCATCAATTATGTTGATAAAATGGCATATATGTTGCTCATATTAAAACACATTGATTCATGTGCTAATATTTACGCATTTATAACATGTGTATTACCGTGCAAACACATTTTATGTTCTCGCCAAGTAGATGAGTGGTAATATGTTGTTATGAAAGTGTTATTTCTCCATGAATAGACCAGTACTTTAAGCTAAACCGGAGTAGTTAGAAGCCTTGCTACAATTGCTATGTCTAAGAATTCTTTTTGAACATCATCTTTTTAAAACCTTTCAAATTATGTACAAGATCAATCTGAATTTTATTTTTAAAAGGGACCAGTCATTTGTTACAGGGGTGGATAGGTCAGAGGTTTTTGATATACACATGTTCTGAAAATAATGACCCTCCCCATATCCTTGAATTTTTTTTCATGACTCTCCCTGAAAAGACAAAATGCAAATGCACTTTTATTATAAACTGTCGACTTTTTCATTACCCTCCCAGAATATGTATTATTTTTTTATGACCCTCCCTCCACTGTCAAAGTTTTGGTGACCCTCCCTGATTCCCTCAGACCCACCCCAGCCTAAAACATATGACCAGTCCCTGAACAACCAATCAGTTTGAAATGATTATATTTACTTTTTACTATAAACTGAAAATGTTGACAATTTGTAAACATGCATATCATGATACCTATTTTGTTTTGTGATAAATTGGATCCCCCCCCCAAAAAAACTTGTTAATAACGAAATAATTGGGTATGATACTGATATTAGTTTAAGAACTGTGAATAACAATTGTAACAATGCACCAAGTATGTTTACATTTGTTACCATATGTTAAAACAGGTACATGTTTAGTTTGTCTGTCATAGGAAATGTTTTGCGCAAGTTTTTCATGTGTGGCCGGCATCTGAGATGCCCGGTCTCATTGTTCCTCTACCATTCCCAACTGAGCCTCTCTGCATGATCCAGTTGCTTACATTTTTGATTAGGAATTCAAATTTGCTGGTTGAGTTTTCAACTTGTCATTTTCATGTTTCATCACATTAGCTTTTCAATTTTGAAGGTTGACAATCTCCCTTTTCGCCCCTTTGTGTCCCCTCTAAAATAATATATTTTCATCCTAAAGGGGAGCTAACCCAATCAAATTGGGTGTGAAAGCACTGTTTATGATGATTTTATGAGTGTTTGTCTGAAGAATGGATACACTGACTGCAGGCAATCAAATTGGCTGCAGTCAATGATGAAGAACTACAAACTACCCAAAGAGTTGATAGGGCAAAAAGGCAGCTATTGTAAGTTATTTCTAAGCTGACAAAAATTATGGGGGCCTTAGTTACTGTCAACTGCTACAGATCATTAATTTGAATTGGTTGTCTCAAACGAGGCTTTAATTTGTCATCACGAGGCATGATGGGAATATCATGGGATCGCTATGTTAAACATGTATGCTCATTTAGTAAGGATTGATGTTTGTTTACTGGTTATTAAGTTTTCCTACTCCTTATCTGTATCTGGTATTCCGAAGACAACGATATTGATAACAATGTACTGTACAGTTACTAGGTTGTGGCTTGGTTATGTATACATGTAAATGCTGTTGTACTAACGATACCTGTTGTTTCCATCGTCTTCAAGTGTGATCACTATTATCATTACGCCTCCCTTTGTGTTTGGGTCGGCATCAACTGTTATATGGAGGTTCTTACAGTGTGTAACCTCTTTCCCATTACTTGTATCAGAGTTGTCTCCCCTTTGCTTGTGTATGATGGTACACCGTGATCACATCACGTGACCCAAGTCTTAGAAACAACAACACTTGAAAAGTGGATGTTTTTCTTGCATGCTCAATTGAGGATTTTGCGCTGGAGAGAATTCAATATTTACCTGTACCTATTTCATTGTGCATACGTAGATTATTAACACAATTATCAAACTGGATCGACCCGATGCAAAGGGGAGGCAAATCTATAACTGTTATTTGTTAATATGTATTAATTGTGTTAAAATTTCTCTAAAAAAATATTTCCGATGTCATGATGTAGTTGTATGATGTACCCACAAATGAAAGTTGACACTTGACAATAGTCCAGTCTAAACCTTATTCCTTGTAACATGGTGTAGTAAATTGTCATTCCTAGATCGAAGAAGCCGGAATGAAACTGGATTGTCTTTTAGATGCTAGAACCATGATATATTAGATATATTGTATGCACAAACGTTTGTGTACAGCCACGTTCCCTCTTTGGGCCTGCAGCACACTGTTCTGATTGGCCGAGAGTATGTGATTACGTACTAATGTAAATGAATATTTGTGTGATGAACAAAATATTGTGCTGTCAAGTGAGATACCATACAGAGAGATGTTCATTTCGTATACAAGTCCATATTTTATCATTGTCAGCACTTGTATCTTCATTCTGATTATGAAAACACTTCTTATATTACGGTAGTAACTACTCTGTTTATCATTATGTGTGTACTTCAAATTCCTGTTAGTATTCACCGTGTTTTATCAGTGTACATTGTCTCTTCTGCACCAGAACGTGCATGGTCTTGCATTGTCGTTAACAGTTGTGTCAGTTCAGGTAAGTGACTACATACTTGTGAAGCCTTTTACTAGCAGATTCATACACCTTCATTTACAAATCTTGTAGATGGTGACCTTTTTTTTCTCTACTTGGCAAAAATGAGTGGCATCAGACTCTTATTTAGCTCATGACTATGGTTGAATGTATTCGCGCACTGAGAAGAATCAGTGCCAAGTGTATGGCTTGCCTGGTCTAGGGGAGATAATTCAAAGTGGTTATTCGATGCACCTGTAAAATCATCTAATATATTGACCTGAACCTACTAAAACATCCCGGATCATGTATTTAACACAAACACCTAATCACATATAAGTGTTTTTAATAAAATGAAACTACCTGTTTTAAATTAGTTTATCTTATATTTCAGGTATTGTGATAAAATAACTTTTTGTAATATCAAGATTTCCTTAAATTCATATTATGTTAAACAATTTGTTATTTAAGGTAACAAGATTTCATTATTCAAAACAAACAGCAAATGAATAACAAGATTTCCTTACTTACGGAAAACTACAAATAAATAACAAGACTTCATTATCACTAAGAGTACAAAGTACAAATGAATGCATGAATCATCCTCCCTACACATGAAGCACAACGGAGTTGTCATGTTCAGATAGGCAGAGTATGGATGAAATCAACATGAACAAGGCAGCATGTCTTTTGTTAACCCTTCATCTGCTGATTTCATCATCTATTCATTCATCAACTTGAATCATTTTCTTTTTTTTGCACTTGAAAACATTTTCATTTATTTCATGTAGAAAAACGAACATCTTTTTCGCACAACATGGGAAAAACGTTTCCGTGCATTTTTTGCGAAAGGTTTTTACTTGATGAATTGTACATGGCGATGGTATAACTCAACGAGGCAGCAAACAGGAGTAGACAGCACCACAACATCAGCTGGTATTCTCTATGCAGAATTATATCACCTACATGGGCCTTTAAAGTCTTAATGTGTGTTGAAACAAATGCTTGGCAGTTGTACATTTTCCAAAGCACGGTTGATGATTAAAGGGGTATAAAAACGCTCACTTATCACGTATGCAAAGAACTGATGCTGTGAGCTGAATTCATTTTAAAGAATTCATATTCAGAGATGCAGATATAATTAGAAGTTAATTATTTTCCCATTACTTCCCCTTCTGCCATGCCTATTTTTTTGTTATTAATTCATGGACATTTTTGTCTGTTCAGAAACCAAAGGATATCAACAATTTTGCAATATATTTTGCAAGGTAGATCATTGTCCAGAGATGTCTATGTAGAATGTAAGAGTGAGCATTATTTTGACAGGTGTGAATGCATGCTTGTGGCTTGATGTCTCCCAACAAATGATGCATGGGTAGATAGATATTCATGCATCACTCAAACCATTCCTGATTTTATTAAAGCAAGTTCCAAATTTTTCCAAATTCCTTAAATTTGATGAGGAGTCAAATGTATCAGAGAATGAAAGCAACAGTAAACTCAAAACTTCCTGTGAAGATAACCAATAACGGTTCATTTCTTACTTGATTGTACAACATGGATAACAAAGCGATATTTTTTATAATCAGAATAGAAAGAACAAAATTCAAAATCTGATGTTTTAGGAACATTTGTGTATGGCCAAGACATGCTGGTACACAGCTGAGGCTACCAAGGCCAGTAGAATGTTCGGTTGGCAATAAATGCAACAATGGAGAAGAAAAACATCTAGTGGCTCAACTGCTGTTTGTTACAATGGGCAATATGAATGACTGCATGAAAGGTAGATGTGAACGACAGAGAATGATTGACCGATAGATAGGAGGCGGGGTGTTACAGCTGAAGCCATCAGGGTTGTGGTGAGAACTACCTATGAAAGCTTGGTAGCATTCATCTCAATCGTTCCAGAAATGGTTAGGACATAATGTGGAAACTTGACTCTGATGACAAGGTATGACAATAGTACTGCACTCAGTTCCTCCACTGATTCCTTTGATTAAGCATATATCACAACCCCGAGGGTTTCAGTTGGAAACAATTTTTGTCTGTGAAATAGCTCAATTTTTTCCCATCATATGGTACAAGGTGCTGACATATATAACAAGCTTTACATTTTCTATGCATGGAACTTTCTAACACATTCCAGTCACAGGTTCTGAGTTCAACATCCAGAAGGCAGCGAATTATATGAAAATTTGATTTGGAAAATTTTACATTCATGTGAAACATGATAAAATTTAGTCTGTTAGTTCATCCTGGATCTTGTGAGAAAAGATTCTTGCAGATGTAAAACCTAACCTGAGTTATCAAACATGCTATTCAAATCAGTATGGGGTTTAATAATTCACAGCTGAAAGGATATGCTTAGATGTTTTCACCTTATCTGAAAAAATGCTGAAATTTACACCAGTATTGTGTTATGTATGAAAATAACTTTCAATGTTGCAATCGGTTATCTTGATAAATGTTTGTGTACTATAACAAATTTATGTGATTACATTTGGAGTAAGAACTACATCAAAATGATTCTAATTATATATTTTCTAGTTTGCAATTTAGGAGTAACCTAAATGCAAATGTTGCAAATCTCAGAGGATGTTATATAGTTTTCACTGCAATACATGTATTACTGCTGCTGTAGCCATGGCTGTGACAGATGACCACACCCTAGACACTGTCCAATAACAGACGCGTAGCTGTCTTAGGCTGACACAGACGGTTAACCGTGGCTGAATGTCACAGTCATGCATGTTACAGCTTTATAAGGAGTTATTACACAGTTGACCAAATTTCCATATTTTTGTTGGTTATTTTGAAATATATTAAGATGTGAAAATTGCACTTTTACAGGAAATGGTGTTGTTACGGTGTGTATGGATGAGAATTTGCTAGGATATGTTAAGAACTGATGCCACTCATGTTTGCCTGTTCTGAAAACAGGCTTTGGTTGCGAGGTATGCTTTGTTATGTCTGTCAAAGTGTTGTTCTTAGATGAGGTAGTGCAGACAACACACAAATCATACAAAGTATATAATCAGTACTTAATTAGATCTTGATGTGAAAAAGCACAAAGATTTGAAAGTATGAAAATTTGAATATTGTATTTTTCTAACTCTAACCAAAGCCTGTTGACAGCCGAAACAGCTCTATTAACAATGCTTATATTTCAGTTTCAGCAGTGAATCTTCCACATGGCATCTCTGTATAACTTTGTGGTAACAATCGGGCAATAACTGAGAGCTCTTAGTAATTGCTTTAGTAGATGTCTTTTTGAAACGGCTATCAAAAAGTGCTCTACCAAAATTGTCAAAAGTTAACTGTCAAATCCTCAATGCCCAAATGAAACCACAAACTACTGATAAATCACAATTCTATGACATCCTATGTTCCTGGCATGCAAAATACATGTTCAGATTCTGATCCGCAGAAATTAAGACCAAATGAAATTTAATATCTTTTCATTGGTGTTGGATTGTATTTGAAATCTTGAGAAACTCAAGCGTGTAGGTATATGGCATCAATTGCTCCACAATAGGGTGGAATGGTTGCCATGGTTTCCATGATTATCTGTAGATTTCTGCAAATCTCCATGGTGCCCTCTCTAAATGAGGTAGTGATCTGTCATGTCTTGAATATGTCATCATGTTTTGTGATATTATCAGCAATAGAGCAGATTTATCAAAGTTTTGTCAGAAACTGTGCAGTTAATGGCATACACTGGTGAAGTGTTTCTTAAGAATACATAATCAATCAAGTTAAGAATGTGTGCAATATTTTGATAAACCATACAGTGTACTGTCAAAAAATGGAAGTAGAAAATGTAAACATTTCACACATTTCTTCTAAAGATACAATTTCATACTGGATACGAACCAGTATAAAAAATTAAACTAGTCTCTTGAAGGTTTATACCCAAAGATTGCTGACATGAATTGCAAGTAATTTTTTAAAATTTTGAACCTCATACAATGTATTGTTATATTATAGGGTAATGATGGGAAAAGGATAGCATACAGGGCTTCTTTCAACAAAAGTTACTTTCCATGTTATAAAAAATCTATCAGCTTTCTGAGGGTAAAATAGGCAATGTTTTTAGGGAAATGTATATGTAGTGTCAGTTTGAGAGCATTTCCTGTGGGCCTGCATCAGCCTCAAATGGTCAATACCCAGGTACCATCTAACCATACTCATCAGTGAAGTTCACTACTCCCGGACAGTCTATGAATCAGTTTCAAAAGTTCACTGGCCAGGAGGGCTTGTTAACAAAAACTGTTGTAAGCCCTCATCATATGTTACTAGCCCAGCTTAATGGAGGCTGCCGTTTGCAATATCTATTAGAATAGTCTTGTTGGGTTTCTTCATGAAATGTTAAGATACAAAAGGTTGTGTACCTTTTTAACATTCTAAAGGGACATTGATGCATGGCCTTCACATAGGATTCTCCAAATTAGAAATGAGTTTAACTCAAAGCACATATCCCTACCCAACAGTAGGGGAGGGTGGTCCTTGTAGTCACGGGACACTAAAATTTATGTCAATTAGTACATCTGCCTTATCCTGCTCACATAATCCGAGAAGCCATGTGCGAGGAGGTGTTTTTTCATTTTTTTTTCTGTGACGTTTTAATTACTATTTATCCATCCATATCACTCTGCCATGTTTGTGGGGTGACTAAACCTTGTTGGTGCTTTTCTTTTGCCCTTAGCACCACTGGATGTATTGCAATTCTCTTATCCCAGAAGAGTGATCTCCCCTTACACACGTCTTGTTTGAATCAGATTTATGAAAGTTGAAATATTGTTCTGAATTGATACTAAAAAAATGCAAGTGTGTGTTCTGCATTGGGAATTCTTTTCTTGGCTAACAATTTTATTATTTGCAAAGTATTTTGACAAGGTAAAAGACGAGGTCATTTGGTGAATCATTCATGGTGACTGTAAAGGGAGCTTCCACTTACTTCTTTCATTCACTGGCAACCTCTCAAGGGATTCCTCAGTTATAGTCTGAAGGCAGAGGCTAGCTGACAGCAACTGCTTGGAAGGTTTTCATTGTTCGTATTGTGATAAATTTGGGGATAGTTTGTTTTACTTGTCCTTTTTTCTCTTCTTGTATAAATACAAAAATGAGAAAATACCCTTCAAAAGTTTGGCAAATGAATGAAGGATTCTTATATCTAAAATAAAAACACTAAAAAATCTCATTTATCATGAAACTTCTAATCAAAATCAACAATCTCAGTTTGAAAATAGCAGGTCTCTTTACTGAAATATTACAAGTGAAAAACAAATTGCCATATGTTATTCTTTAATGTATCTTTTCAAGAAAGCACCTTGCTATACTTTTCCCACTCATTTCTACAACTTTGCATAAAGATGTATCTGATACTTTAGTAACTGTGCTGACAGAACCCCAACCCATTATCCACTTCCCAAACCGAGGAGGGTGTTTTCTCTAAGATTGCTCCTTCACACAGCATCGCATCTTTTCCCCCGAAAGTTGCCCAAGGTAGCAACTCTAAAAAGTAGCCTTTCTAATTAATTGGTCCTGATTACAATTATTATTGGTGGTTTTAATTATGGCAGTCTTCTATTGCTACTTGTATCGAAGCTTTGTTAAAAAATAAAGTTGGAAAATGTATTTTTGTTTTGTCATTTTTCAAAGTGGAAGGAGTCTTTCACTCACCTGCAGGAAAAGTGAGAACCTGTAATATAAGTGCTGCAGCCACATGAGCGCAATGGGTGGTCGATGGTGTGAAGAGAGTCAAACCAGAGCTTCCACTGTGAAAAGCAAAGGCGCCATACATACACAGACTGAAGAATTGGGTTTCCAAGGAATACTGGCAATGGTCCAGCCTTCATGCTGCCTTCAGTCATCTCAATCTTACAATTTGACTGTGAATGTGTGTAGGAGTCTGCTACAATATTATGTACAAGTCACCTAATGACTAACTGTTCGCAGTTGTTTAACGATACAAATAATATCTATATGTAGCGCATGCATCCATCAGTGAAGACATGATCCATCTGTTGGGATTCCGAGTTCTTTATTGCACAGCTTGATCTCGTGGTTACAACGGTCCTGTCAACATTATCACATCCAATATAAAATACTCTATTCCAACTGTAACTGACATACATGTATAGTTGGATGCACATCACTCTGTACAGGACATACAAAATAGCTTAAAAGCAAAATAACATTACGACATACAAAACATTAACAAAAGGTAAATGGCAAGAGACTGCTTAATTACAATAGAGATATTAACAAAATCTTTTGTACTGTACATTACCATAATTATCATGAATTAAATGACGGCAATATACACAACACTTATAATTACCAACTATGGGCTGAACTACCGGTATGTGTTCTCACAAGCAGGTATTAAGCTGGTCAGCACTGCCATATCCAATACAATAATTAACTGCATAGACAAACCTGCCAAATGTTTACTATCAACAGTTATTCTGTACCCAACTACACACTTGAAATGTTCCAAGTTAAGTTATTACCAAATTGCATGAACAACAATTATACCACTGTTATAAAGTGTAAAACAATGCAACAATTTTTATCAATATTTTATACTTTTATAAAACAACTTTTCTTAAACAAACCAAACTATACCATAAAGTACTACTTGCCTCGGTTTGTAAAAGGAAGGACAATATTCCAAAAGAATGAAAACACCAATAGTAATGAACACACAATGCCATTTAGAAAGTTGTCAAAAGTAACAAATGTTTTATCTTGGATAACACTTTCTTAGTAAAGCACAGATTCTCATACTTTTTTGGGTTGAGTCCCTTTTGGTGGAAGCCTCAGTGGCTGAGTGGGTTAGATCGCTGAGTTTATGTGCTGGTGATTAGGTACCTCATTCTGGCAGTGTGGGTTTGAATCCCGGATGGGACTCAACCCCCAAAAGTACAAGATTCTGTAATTTACTGAGAAAGTGTTATCCCAAATATAACATTTGTTACCAAAAGTTAAATCTGGTCAACCACTATTTCCATTCCATTTCCTCCAGTAAGACAAAGTTTGTTTGTTTGTTGTTTAACAAGGCACTCAGTGATATTCAAGCTATATGAGGGCGGTATGTAAGTAATTGAGTCTGGACCAGACAATCCAGTGATTTACATCATGAGCATGGATCTACGCAATTGGGATACAATGACATGCATCAACCAAGTCATCAAGTCTGACCACCTGATCCCATTAGTCGCCTCTGTTCAAAGTGAAAGGTTTCTGGACTAACAGAATTCCACTGCATTATGCAATGATGAGAGATGAAAAGGCTCATTCTATCCTCACCAAGGACTACTCTCAATATTGATGGTGTGAATGTTACATATATATCAGTATAGCGATAATCATGATAACAGTTTCTTTACATATCTTAACAGTGTAAAACCATGTTTTGGGTACTGGGTATAGCTACTGTGTCTGTACACTGCCCTGCTGTAATCAAACTAGAACTTTTTTAACAAAGAAAATGTTTCTTGTTATTGTAATGATTATTGGTGTTCACATTACATTAACAAGCAGTTTGGGTACATTATAAATACAATCTATGTTTGAGGGGTGGTTGAAAAGTTCTGAGCCTAACTACGATGGACTGTGTTTATGGGAGTATCAGTAGTTATCAACACACACCCTCCGAGATCCACATACATGTACTTCAACGGGAGTGCCTGGTTCCCGCAGGTGTAACACGTCCTCCACTGAAGCACTAATATCATCATCATTTGCATCATAACACTTGCCAGACAGTTCTTTCTTCATTAGGGAAAAGGTGGACATCTGACAGTGCCAAATCTGGTGAATACAGAGGATGTTCAGTGAGTTCAAAGCCAGTCATGCATTGCAGCCATGGCGTCCACCGACTTTTGTACAGGTACTTTGTCCTGGTGGAAGGAACAACACACATTCAGTGAGTTTTCCATGGTGTTTAGCCTTGATATTCTCACCTTTTGGGAGGTAGTCAAACAGTAAGATTCCTTTGAAGTCCCAGAAAATGCCTTGCCAGCTGATGGAACAGACTTAGACTTCTTTGTCATAGGATATTAGATGTTTCCACTGCTTTGACTGTTTTTTAATAGTTTTTTTGTTGATGAATGTCGGCAGTTGAAACTAGTCCCGGAAAGCTCAAGAAAGCTGCTTACTAATTGGTTAATGTCGTCATCTTGTTAGTCATTTCATTGGTTTTCAAAAGGTCACCTGTAATGGGACATCCTCACATCTTTGTTTAGAGGCAGTGAGAACTAAAAATCTGATTCCAACTCATAGACAGAGCATTTAAGAGCATTGTCAATACACAAAGGTCAAATAAAGTTCAAAACTTGAAATATGGTGAAAAATGCTAACGATACATATACAAATTTCATTACAATTTGAAAACTATTATGAGGTGAGGTGAAATGGGGTTTAACGTCGCGTCCAAGATTATTGCACTTATAAAGCGTGTGTGTTTGTGTGGCTGCTTGTACTAGTCCGGACTGATGCCAATTTATAGTGCTAGCTCACTGAGATACCATGTCGCAGTTTAACATGAATACCCCACTCAGACACAGTATACTGACTCCGAGCCGAACAGTCCTTGTTTTAGCCCCTTAATGCCGAGCGCCAGACAGGGTAACAACAAGTACCATCTTTTAACGTCTTTTGGTATGACGCAGCCGGGGATCGAACCCCGGACCTTCCGCTCTCCGGGCGGACGCTCTACCACCAGACCACGGAGGCGGTCGAAAACTATTATGTGTTATTACTCATAAAAACAGATGTCCCCCTCTCATTGGTTCAAGTTGTCAAACGCTACTTATTTTTTATAAATTTCAAATTGTTTCCATGGAAACATAAAAAATAAAAAATCATAAAAATATAAAAAGGCAATAACTGAGCATGTGATCACATGTAGAGTTTCAAGCAAAAATATTCATTAGTTTGAGAACTATATCTCATAAATGAATTCTCGAGTTGTTGAGTCTAAGTCAAAATTGTTTCAATGGAAATGTGACAAAATTGAACAATAGTTATCATTGTTTATAGAATATCTTGGAATACTACCTCTATTACATCACTGCCATAATCCTGTATTTGGGCTGCAATCACACCATACTTAACTTTCAGATTTTCAACTGGGGTCCTCTTTACTGTCAACTTTTCAAAGTAGTGGTCCTCGCAGTAGCACTAAAATTAGCACCAACTTAGCACCTTACAGCTCTTCTGTGTGTGAAGGCAGGAAAACCTCACTTATTTCCAAACATCAATCTACTCGAGATGATTGTGGTGGTGGGAGCAAGTACTTCTGATGTATTAAATAGAGGTAGTATTCTTAGAATTATATACAATGATCACTATTGTACTATAATTCTTGCGAATACTCTACCCCTATTACATCATTGCCAGACTATACCACAGGAAAGGCAGGTTCTGCCTCTAGTACACTCCTTGTATAGTTTATAGTAATGTCCTGTAATCCTTGTGTTTCCATCAAATAACTGTTTCAAATCCCCAAGAGATGTTTTGTCTTGAACCATTTCTAGAGGACTTGAAAATTGTGTAGTGGAATAATCAGTAAATAATATCAATATATGATACCTTATTTAGAACTACCGTCATATTGCTGATATCCCTATTTATGATAATCCCTATACTTGAATATCATAATTTTAATATATTTTGTGTCACCTGCGGTCTTTTTTACCAGTTTCTGACGTTACTTCTGGTCTAAGACTTATAAAAATAAAAGAATTGGTTCTCAGGCAATTATAGTGCAAGTGGGCATTTTTTTTGTTTTTTTTGTTGTTGTTGTTCAAACTAGTATGTAAACAGTATAAACACAAATAAACAGTTGTGTACAATCAACCTGGGAAAGGGCCTCCCTACATAAATGTATTACTTCATGAGTAAAATAATGGAATACATGAACTGAGCCAAAAACAACAGGGAGAGGAGACATAAAAAGCACCTCAGCAATGGCTATTTGGCTGCCCTTAGGACCATTTTTAAAACAGAATGCAAACTTCATGAACAAATTCAAGTTTCATCCTTGGTAGGAACAAGTGTGTGAAGTTTCAGCTCTGAAGGTTTATAAAAAGCAGTTCCAATTCCATAAATAAAAAGCACAACTCATTGTTAATCAACCAGAGTTACTTTTATTAATTTAACATCAAATGACTTTCTTTTTTTCACCCAAACTTCACCTCAAAGAAGTTACCAAATATGTACCACATATGTTGATGTATGACATCACAACCTGTGATCAACTATTACAAAATGGAGTGTCCACTGACATCAGTTCGGGGATTGTATGTGGGGACAATCATTGATTCAGGAATCGTACAAACATTAATGCACCATGCTAGTAGTCAGAAACATTCTGACAATCTGCATAGTGTTATTTGTTTTTATGTTTTTCATTGTAACCAAGAGAAACAGTGAGTAATGCCGATAAAAATAGCGTTGTCGTTGTGCGTGAGTTTGCGAGGGTAGAAGAGGAGAGACATATTTGTCCCTGTGGCATCCAGAGGGTAATGCGCATTTGTAAATAAGTGTATAATGAAAACTTGAGTGACAGAGAAACATTGATTTATTGCCGATCCTCATGATTGTGGTAAGCATGGAAGAGAATAAAGAATTGTTTCACTCGAGGATTGCCCATGAAAAGTAGTTCCGGTCAATTGTGTAAACATCAAAAGGTGAAGTTTATACTTTGTAAACATCTCTTTTTGAAGTGTGTTGAAAAATGAACGGGTCATGTGATCAGCAAACAAACCAATCAAATCATCGGAAGTCCCTTAAACTTCAAAATAAGAATTTATATGGATTTGACATAAAGTCATTAGACGTATTGGTATTCATCAAACCTGCCACATGGCCTAGATGGGATGTACAAAATAACCAAGTACTCACTCCAGAGCAATAATATATAGAACTCATTGTTCAGCTTAATAAATGTTGTCAAAATCACATACTTACTATTATCCAAGTAGTTGGTAGCTAGGCCTCCTAAGAAAGCTGCTTGAGATCAATAAGGATTACATTAAGTTGGACTGCACATATTGGTATTATTACTGACATATTGGTATAATGCAATACACTTTGTACATATTACAATATCTTTTTCTGTGTTCTGGTATACTTAGTATAAAAAGATAATACATTTAATTGTTATTTGTGTTGTTTAACCTTAAAACACAGAAATTCATTCACGAATGACTTTTCCCTTCAAATTTGATTGACAAAATGGGAAAAACATGGGAGTGATTTTTCTCTCACATTGTTATCGCCCCTGTATCCATGACTACAAAATGGCGGCAACTGACCATGCTGAGTAATATTCACTCTAGTTTGTAAAAAAAGGATCTGCATGTACAATCAGTGTCAATCAGTGTCAAATCAGTGTCAAACACTTTCGGTACCAATATATCGCAAAAAGTATTGCAATACAGACACCTGTATCTCGTTATATTGTAATACAATTATTTTGCCAATACACAGCCCTAACATTAAGTAATTCAAAATTACTGGCACAAATTTATCACAAAATAATCAATACTGATAAAATCAAATTTGTTCTTTCACAAGTATCACAAATCCATTTTATTATCATAAGATGCTGTACACTGTCACCTGTAGTGACGTTTGTGCAGAACACAAAGAGAGTTCTGTAAAGACACATGCTTGTTTGCCAGTGTTTGATGTTCTTTATGGGGTGTGGCTTTTGTTTTCTTGTACAACCTCAACAATGATGGTAGCAAAGTCCACAATTTCATCTTTCACAATTTTCGTAATGAGAGACAGATTCTCTAAAATCTGAAAAATTGAATAGAAGTGCAAACACTGCCATATTATGACATTCATGTATATCAATGATTATTTTCATGAAGAAAATTAAACTATATATGCTGTGAGAAAACCTACTTCCTTGACTAGAAATATACAAACCAACATCATCCCTTCCAAAGTGTAAAATGACTTGTCAATATATGATGTAAGTAATTTTATACTTTTAATGTTGCTTAAAAGATATACAAAAAGATTTTAAATTCCTATAGTCTGAAAGTTTCTTACTTACTTACTTACTTACTTTGGAGATTTAACGTGCGCTTTCCGACTGATGCGTATTTCGCACACGGGCCCGGCCAGGCCATTTAATGTGTTTCCGAAAGGGGCGAAGGTGGTCTGTGCAACCCAAGAGGGGGGTTTTAGGGGTTGCTTATATAGAATTTGGAAATTTTGAGATTTGGAATAGATGCCGATGGGATTGGGGAGGAGAACTAAGGGAGCTGGGTATGGTGGATGTTTGTTTGTTTATGTGATTTTGATTTGGTGAGTTATTGTGTTTTTAGATGCGTTTTATTAGTTCCGTTTTGATTAAGAATACGCCTAAGGCCTTGAAGTTTTCTAGTTTATTTTGTGGGTTTAGTATTGCTTCTAGAGTTAGAGCCTTGTTTAGATTGAGGGTGGTTTGTAATGCGGTTCGATGTGTTAGGTAGTGTGTGCAGTGGATGAGTGCGTGTTCTGGGGTTTCTGGTTGTTTGCAGTGTGGGCAGTTACCTGTAGTGTGTTTTTTAATTTTTTTTAGGTGGTTATTTAGGTTGGTGTGTCCTGTTTGGAGTTTAGTGATTACTCTGTCGATTTTTTTGGATGGATGGAGAATTTTTGGTTTGGTTAGTGGTTTGCTGAGCACTTTTTTGATTTGGCTATTTGAGTTTAGATATAGGTTATGCCATTTTTTGGTGATTTTTTGCTTGTTTACACTTTTAATTTCTGATTTTGAGATGGGTAAGTTTAAGCTTATTTCTGGGATTTTGAGGGATAGTTTAGCTGCTTTATCGGCGTTTTCATTACCGTATAAAGTTTCTCAAATTAAGACTCTTTATCAGTGCTCTGTTGACATCACGTTTAATGCGTTCATACATCCAGCTTTGAATGGCAAGGGACAGATTCAGTGAAAGGGCTTGTTTTGTTTGGAGAACAGTCATGAGGGGCACCTGTCTAACAACATCACCATTTTCAGTGTTTAATGTAGATAAGAATTGTAATCCTCATCGACCTCAGTATAAAGACAATGACATTTAATTGGAACAGTATTGCAATAGTTTAAAAAAGAAGTGTGATACTAGTGCACTAGCTGTAACACAAACAAGGTGTGTTGTTGATAGAACAGCTGGTAAAGTACTTACAAGGTTGGTGGTTATAAGTATTTTCAGTACATCTATGAAACAATTAAGTCTAGCATGGTATCAGTGTCAACTATTCAAATGCACTCAGCCTATGGACAAGTAGATTGTCCAATCCCTAGAGCGAGTACTCACAGTGTCCGTGGTTGACATGTCCATGATGAAAGCAGAGGCGGTGATCACTGCTGTCCCCAGCAGCAGCATGTCACTCAGCATCTCACTCACCCTAGGGAATACAACCACATTGTATGAGTGCATATCTTACATGGTTCATACACTCACCCTAGGGAATACAACCATATTGTATGAGTGCATATCTTACATGGTTCATACACTCACCCTAGGGAATACAACCATATTGTATGAGTGCATATCTTACATGGTTCATACACTCACTCTACTGAAAACAACCATATTGTATGAGTGCATATCTTACATGGTTCATACACTCACCCTAGGGAATACAACCATATTGTATGAGTGCATGTCTTACATGGTTCATACACTCACCCTAGGGAATACAACCATATTGTATGAGTGCATATCTTACATGGTTCATACACTCACCCTAGGGAATACAACCATATTGTATGAGTGCATGTCTTACATGGTTCATACACTCACCCTAGGGAATACAACCATATTGTATGAGTGCATATCTTACATGGTTCATACACTCACCCTAGGGAATACAACCATATTGAATGAGTGCATATCTTACATGGTTCATACACTCACCATAGGGAAAACAACCATATTGTATGAGTGCATATCTTACATGGTTCATACACTCACTCTAGGGAATACAACCATATTGTATGAGTGCATATCTTACATGGTTCATACACTCACTCTAGGGAATACAACCATATAGTATGAGTGCATATCTTACATGGTTCATACACTCACCCTAGGGAATACAACCATATTGTATGAGTGCATATCTTACATGGTTCATACACTCACCATAGGGAAAACAACCATATTGTATGAGTGCATATCTTACATGGTTCATACACTCACCCTAGGGAATACAACCATATAGTATGAGTGCATATCTTACATGGTTCATACACTCACCCTAGGGAATACAACCATATTGTATGCGTGCATATCTAATACGGGTCATACACTAACCCTAGGGAAAACAACCATATTGTATGAGTGCATATCTTACATGGTTCATACACTCACTCTAGGGAATACAACCACATTGTATGAGTGCATATCTTACATGGTTCATACACTCACTCTAGGGAATACAACCATATAGTATGAGTGCATATCTTACATCGTTCATACACTCACTCTAGGGAATACAACCATATTGTATGAGTGCATATCTTACATGGTTCATACACTCACCATAGGGAAAACAACCATATTGTATGAGTGCATATCTTACATGGTTCATACACTCACTCTAGGGAATACAACCATATTGTATGAGTGCATATCTTACATAGTTCATACACTCACCCTAGGGAATACAACCATATTGTATGAGTGCATATCTTACATGGTTCATACACTCACCCTGGGGAATACAACCATATTGTATGAGTGCATATCTTACATGGTTCATACACTCACCATAGGGAAAACAACCATATTGTATGAGTGCATATCTTACATGGTTCATATACTCACTCTAGGGAATACAACCATATTGTATGAGTGCATATCTTACATTGTTCATACACTCACTCTAAGGAATACAACCATATTGAATGAGTGCATATCTTACATGGTTCATACACTCACCATAGGGAAAACAACCATATTGTATGAGTGCATATCTTACATCGTTCATACACTCACTCTAGGGAATACAACCATATTGTATGAGTGCATATCTTACATGGTTCATACACTCACCATAGGGAAAACAACCATATTGTATGAGTGCATATCTTACATGGTTCATACACTCACTCTAGGGAATACAACCATATTGTATGAGTGCATATCTTACATAGTTCATACACTCACCCTAGGGAATACAACCATATTGTATGAGTGCATATCTTACATGGTTCATACACTCACCCTGGGGAATACAACCATATTGTATGAGTGCATATCTTACATGGTTCATACACTCACCATAGGGAAAACAACCATATTGTATGAGTGCATATCTTACATGGTTCATATACTCACTCTAGGGAATACAACCATATTGTATGAGTGCATATCTTACATTGTTCATACACTCACTCTAAGGAATACAACCATATTGAATGAGTGCATATCTTACATGGTTCATACACTCACCATAGGGAAAACAACCATATTGTATGAGTGCATATCTTACATGGTTCATACACTCACTCTAGGGAATACAACCATATTGTATGAGTGCATATCTTACATGGTTCATACACTCACTCTAGGGAATACAACCATATAGTATGAGTGCATATATTACATGGTACATACACTCACCCTAGGGAATACAACCATATTGTATGAGTGCATATCTTACATGGTTCATACACTCACCCTAGGGAAAACAACCATATTGTATGAGTGCATATCTTACATGGTTCATACACTCACCCTAGGGAATACAACCATATTGTATGCGTGCATATCTAATATGGGTCATACACTAACCCTAGGGAAAACAACCATATTGTATGAGTGCATATCTTACATGGTTCATACACTCACTCTAGGGAATACAACCACATTGTATGAGTGCATATCTTACATGGTTCATACACTCACTCTAGGGAATACAACCATATAGTATGAGTGCATATCTTACATCGTTCATACACTCACCCTAGGGAATACAACCATATTGTATGAGTGCATATCTTACATGGTTCACATACTCACTCTAGGGAATACAACCATATTGTATGAGTGCATATCTTACATTGTTCATACACTCACTCTAAGGAATACAACCATATAGTATGAGTGCATATCTTACATGGTTCATACACTCACCCTAGGGAATACAACCATATTGTATGAGTGCATATCTTACATGGTTCATACACTCACTCTAGGGAATACAACCATATTGTATGAGTGCATATCTTACATGGTTCATACACTCACCATAGGGAAAACAACCATATTGTATGAGTGCATATCTTACATGGTTCATACACTCACCCTAATGAAAACAACCATATTGTATGAGTGCATATCTTACATGGTTCATACACTCACTCTAGGGAATACAACCATATTGTATGAGTGCATGTCTTACATGGTTCATACACTCACCCTAGGGAATACAACCATATTGTATGAGTGCATATCTTACATGGTTCATACACTCACCCTAGGGAATACAACCATATTGTATGAGTGCATATCTTACATGGTTCATATACTCACTCTAGGGAATACAACCATATTGTATAAGTGCATATCTTACATTGTTCATAAACTCACTCTAAGGAATACAACCATATAGTATGAGTGCATATCTTACATGGTTCATACACTCACCCTAGGGAAAACAACCATATTGTATGAGTGCATATCTTACATGGTTCATACACTCACTCTAGGGAATACAACCATATTGTATGAGTGCATATCTTACATGGTTCATACACTCACCCTAGGGAATACAACCATATTGTATGAGTGCATATCTTACATGGTTCATACACTCACCATAGGGAAAACAACCATATTGTATGAGTGCATATCTTACATGGTTCATACACTCACCCTAATGAAAACAACCATATTGTATGAGTGCATATCTTACATGGTTCATACACTCACTCTAGGGAATACAACCATATTGTATGAGTGCATGTCTTACATGGTTCATACACTCACCCTAGGGAATACAACCATATTGTATGAGTGCATATCTTACATGGTTCATACACTCACCCTAGGGAATACAACCATATTGTATGAGTGCATATCTTACATGGTTCATATACTCACTCTAGGGAATACAACCATATTGTATAAGTGCATATCTTACATTGTTCATAAACTCACTCTAAGGAATACAACCATATAGTATGAGTGCATATCTTACATGGTTCATACACTCACCCTAGGGAAAACAACCATATTGTATGAGTGCATATCTTACATGGTTCATACACTCACTCTAGGGAATACAACCATATTGTATGAGTGCATATCTTACATGGTTCATACACTCACCCTAGGGAATACAACCATATTGTATGAGTGCATATCTTACATGGTTCATACACTCACTCTAGGGAATACAACCATATTGTATGAGTGCATATCTTACATGGTTCATACACTCACCATAGGGAAAACAACCATATTGTATGAGTGCATATCTTACATGGTTCATATACTCACTCTAGGGAATACAACCATATTGTATGAGTGCATATCTTACATTGTTCATACACTCACTCTAAGGAATACAACCATATTGAATGAGTGCATATCTTACATGGTTCATACACTCACCATAGGGAAAACAACCATATTGTATGAGTGCATATCTTACATGGTTCATACACTCACTCTAGGGAATACAACCATATTGTATGAGTGCATATTTACATGGTTCATACACTCACTCTAGGGAATACAACCATATAGTATGAGTGCATATCTTACATGGTACATACACTCACCCTAGGGAATACAACCATATTGTATGAGTGCATATCTTACATGGTTCATACACTCACCCTAGGGAAAACAACCATATTGTATGAGTGCATATCTTACATGGTTCATACACTCACTCTAGGGAATACAACCATATTGTATGAGTGCATGTCTTACATGGTTCATACACTCACCCTAGGGAATACAACCATATTGTATGAGTGCATATCTTACATGGTTCATACACTCACCCTAGGGAATACAACCATATTGTATGAGTGCATATCTTACATGGTTCATATACTCACTCTAGGGAATACAACCATATTGTATAAGTGCATATCTTACATTGTTCATAAACTCACTCTAAGGAATACAACCATATAGTATGAGTGCATATCTTACATGGTTCATACACTCACCCTAGGGAAAACAACCATATTGTATGAGTGCATATCTTACATGGTTCATACACTCACTCTAGGGAATACAACCATATTGTATGAGTGCATATCTTACATGGTTCATACACTCACCCTAGGGAATACAACCATATTGTATGAGTGCATATCTTACATGGTTCATACACTCACTCTAGGGAATACAACCATATTGTATGAGTGCATATCTTACATG